AAAAAAATGTGCAGGAGGTTCAAACATATATATTAATTTAGGAAAGTTAGTAAATGATAACAAAAATACATGATATGTATTTACAGTATGCAACCAAGAAATGTAATTGTATATTCTGCATTTATCATGCTTTTCCATAAAAAAAAGGTCAATTTGCAGAAAGACCTCCCTTCTAAATCATTAAAACTATCAATTTGCTTTAATTATAATATTCTGAAGTAAATTAGATACACCCAATCGGGCTAACGTCCTCATGTGTGTATCTAATACACATAAGACAAAGAATTTAATGAATGAAAATTCCAAAACAGGAAGCACATATTTTCTTCCTTGGACACACAAAAAAAAAACGAACAAAGACAGGTTTTTGTGCAAGTTTTTGTAATCATTCAAGCTGTTGTTCTGTCTTTAAAGAACAGATTCTATCTACTGAAATAAACTGCTTCGCTGAGCGCAGCTGGATACGCCCGCAGAGGTCCAACCCTGAACAGTTGGGGCAAAAATGGACACAATATTCAAGCTTGATACTGGTCTGAATTTGGATTGTAATTAAATATTTGACATATTATAGGTTTTTGAATAAATGTAGTCAAAGAACTTGAAATTGGTTATATGAATTGAATTTATATTCAATTAAAGATTTCTTGCTGTTGAGCAATACACTGTGCCATTGCGCAATACTTAGTAAATCTGTTGTCAGACTATAAACAAATAAAGTTCAATTAATTCTCAATGTCATATTAGAAATTTATGAAAATGTAAAGGGAGCTTATATTAATAGATATAAACAATTCACCAAAGTTTCATGAGAATTGCTGACAGCATTTTTGAGTTATTGTCTGAAAACTGGAAAATCCCCTCCTTTTTGTCCGAAGACACATTGGTTTTCGCACTCTAACTTTAGTTTAAGTGAATGGATCTCCATGAAATTTCACCATAAGGTTCAATACCACGAAAGGAAGGTTGGGATTGATTTTGGGGGTTATGGTACCAACAGTTAAGGAATTAGGGGCCAAAAAGGGGCCAAAAATAAGCATTTTTGTAACTTTCAGACAATAACTTGTGTGTAAGTGTATGGATCTCTCTGACATTGTACCACAAGGTTCCATATCACAAAGGGAAGGCTGTAATTGATTTTGGGGGTAATTGCCTCAAAATTTTAGGAATTAGGGGCCAAAAAAGGGGCAAAAAACAAGCATTTTTCTAGTTTCATGACAATAACTTGTGTGTAAGTGTTTGGATATTTCTGAAATTGTACTACAAGGTTCCATATCACAAAGGGAAAGCTGGAATTGAGTTTGGGGGTAATTGCCCGAAACGTTTAGGAATTGGGGGCCAAAAAGGGGCCAAAAATAAGCATTTTTCTAGTTTCCAGACAATAACTTGTGTTCAAGTGAATGGATCTCTCTGAAATTGTACTGCAAGGTACCATACCACAAAGGGAAGGCTGGGATTGAGTTTGGGGGTGATGAATCATAAGGGTGTTCAAAAAATTTGGGGGGGGGGATTTTTTTTTTTTTTTTTTTTTCTTTTTTTCCTTTTTTTTTTCTTTTAAAATTTTCCATTTTAAGTTGGTTATTTCTGATTTATATTTAAAAGCAAATAATAATGATATGGTAGGAGATACACACCAAACAGGATGTGTAAATTATTATATAATAAGTATTGTGCAATAGCAAGAAATTTTCAATTGCACAGTATTGCACAATAGCAAGAAATCTTCAATTGCACAGTATTGCGCAATAGCAAGAAATCTTCAATTTAACAGTATTGCGCAATAGCAAGAAATATCCAATAGCACAATATTGCGCAATAGCAAGAAATTGTCAATTGTACAGTATTGCGCAATAGCAAGAAATATTCAATTGCACAGTATTGTGCAAAAGAAGATACTTCGTATAAATTGCTTATTTCTTGATCAATTTCAATGGGGTTTTATTCTTGAATTCTTGGGGTTCTTTAATATGCTGAATCTAACCGTGTATTAAGTTTTTGGATTTTGGGCCCCGTTTTTAAATTGGTCCACATTGAGGTCCAAAGGGTCCAAAATTTAACTTTGTTTGATTTCATCAAAAATTGAATTATTGGGGTTCTTTGATATGCCGAATCTAACCGTGTATTTAGATTTTTAATATTGGGTCCCGTTTTTTAAATTGGTCTACATTAAGGTCCAAAGGGTCCAAAATTAAACTTAGTTTGATTTTAACAAAAATTGAATTCTTAAGGTTCTTTGATATGCTGAATCTAAACATGTGTTTAGATTTTTGATTATGGGCCCAGTTTTCAAGTTGGTCCAAGTTGGGGTCCAAAATTAAACTTTTTTTGATTTCAACAAAAATTGAATATATGGGGTTCTTTGATATGCTGAATCTAAACATGTATTTAGATTTTAGATTTTTGGCCCAGTTTTCAAGTTGGTCCAAATTGGGGTCCAAAATTAAACTTTGTTTGATTTCAACAAAAATTGAATATATGGGGTTCTTTGATATGCTGAATCTTACCATGTATTTAGATTTTTTATTTGTGGGCCCGCTATCAAATTGGTTCATATTGAGGTCAAAAGGGTCCAAAATTAAACTTTGTTTGATTTCATCAAAAATTGAATTATTGGGGTTCTTTGATATGCAAAATCTAACCGTGTATTTAGATTTTTAATTTTGGGTCCTGTTTTTTTGTCTACATTAAGGTCCAAAGGGTCCAAAATTAAACTTAGTTTGATTTTAACAAAAATTGAATTTTTGGGGTTCTTTGATATGCTGAATCTAAACATGTGTTTAGATTTTTGATTATGGGACCAGTTTTCAAGTTGGTCCAAGTTGGGGTCCAAAATTAAACTTTGTTTGATTTCAACAAAAATTGAATATATGGGGTTCTTTGATATGCTGAATCTAAACATGTATTTAGATTTAGATTTTTGGCCCAGTTTTCAAGTTGGGCCAAATTGGGGTCCAAAATTAAACTTTGTTTGATTTCAACAAAAATTGAATATATGGGGTTCTTTGATATGCTGAATCTTACCATGTATTTAGATTTTTTTATTTGTGGGCCCGCTATCAAATTGGTTCATATTGAGGTCAAAAGGGTCCAAAATTAAACTTTGTTTGATTTCATCAAAAATTGAATTATTGGGGTTCTTTGATATGCCAAATCTAACCGTGTTTTTAGATTTTTAATTTTGGGTCCCGTTTTTTAAATTTGTCTACATTAAGGTCCAAAGGGTCCAAAATTAAACTTAGTTTGATTTTAACAAAAATTGAATTCTTCGGGTACTTTGATATGCTGAATCTAAACATGTGTTTAGATTTTTGATTATGGGCCCAGTTTTCAAGTTTGTCCAAGTTGGGGTCCAAAATTAAACTTTGTTTGATTTCAACAAAAATTGAATATACGGGGTTATTTGATATGCTGAATCTAACCATGTATTTTGATTTTGGACATTGGACCATAATAGGTAAATTAAAAAAATTGAAGTTCTTAGACCACATTCTTTTTGTGTCAGAAACCTATGCTGTGTCAAATATTTAATCACAATCCAAATTCAGAGCTGTATCAAGCTTGAATGTTGTGTCCATACTTGCCCCAACTGTTCAGGGTTCGACCTCTGCGGTCGTATCAAGCTGCGCCCAGCGAAGCATTTTATTTTATGAATAAAACCCTGTAACTCGGAAACGTCAAATCTAAAATATATAAAAATCGAAAGAGAGCTCATGTCAATAGATATAAACAATTCACCACAATTTCTTGCAAGTTGGTGAAAGCATTTTTGAGTTATTGTCCGAAAACTGGAAAATCCCCCTTTTTTTAATGAATAAAACCCCATAACTCGGAAACGTAAAATCTAAAATTTATAAAAAACGAAAGGGAGCTCACGTCAATAGATATAAACAATTCACCAAAGTTCTATGCAAATTGGTTAAATCTTTTTTGAGTTAATGTCCGACATGTTGACGACGGACGGACAGACGGACAGACGGACGGACGGACAGACGGACAACGGTATACCATAATACGTCCCGTAAACGGGCGTATAAAAATTAAATATTAATTGAATCCCTATTTTTAAATTTACTGCTTTCCCTCAAAATCAGGATTCAAAATATTTTTAGGTCCTGTTTGAATATTCCAGTGGTAATGTAGTGTTTTTTGTAATTTGTCAAACTTCAGGCTTTTGGTAGTTTGATAATGAGGAATGAGTTGTGATTGTTTTTACTGATTCTAGATTAATCATTGAAGAAGTTGTAACAGCAAAGAACAAATCAAGATTTAAACTATCTCAAATCAGTTAAAGGGGTGTAGTGACCTCAATTTCATGGTTCAAAGGATATAGTATGACGTTTGTAAACAGGTAAGGTTTGGGTTTAAAATGTTAAAGTTCACTGTGATTGATATAGTACAAATGTTATTGAAAATATAACAGAAGTATTTAGAGCTCTTGGAAAAAAAAAATAGAACCAATTATTTTTTGTGTAAAAGAAGTTTCTTTTCATTATTTTGTGGGATTATGGTCAAAAGGAGTAAAGAAAATGTGTATACCCCTACTGTCATGTTAACATCAATTCATCATTGATCATTACAAACATCAGTCACTACAGTTATCTTGAGAATGTTCAAAATATGGACTTTGTGGAAATTGACTTAATGCTGTGTAATTTTGGTAGAAAGTGTCCTTTTAATTGTAAATATACCCTTTCAACTTATCTGTCTGGTAAATAGTAGATTTAAGCCTCAGATATTTTCTCTGAATTAGAATGATTGTTTGAATATTGTAATAAATAGAATCGGTAAACAGTTTATTTTACGTTGTCAACATTAATAGCAGATCGGGTGGTATAAAACACCTGGATATAACACAAAGAAACATCTGTTGTCTGTAAATCTTAATCCAACAAAATATTCCATATTTATTTAGGTCCAAGTTTTATCATCAGTGTTGGGTATAAAGTCACAAAATATAGGAAAAAATCTTGTATAAATGTTTTTTGGATGATCAGACCAGAAGATTAGGGTTGGATCAATGGTGCAAGGACAAATTAACTGTTGTATTTAAATGTTAATTATCGTCTCACTAAGCGTGGATCAAAATTATTGATCCTGTCAATAGTTAGTACAATCATCTCTGCCCAATTTGGACAACAATCAGACAATTGGAACACAACAATGAATAAAATCTGTGCTCTTTATAAATACCAGTCACTGTTTTTTTACCGTACATGTTGTCACAAATAATCTTCATTGTCAGGATTTATTACAGTATAAAATAAATTTCAAGATATTTTGAAGATTTAAAAAGTCTGATCCTTTTTGTATTGATCAATATTTGTGTCTCATGTTTACACTGCAGTGTTTAGAGGAAATGACTTCTGTTTGAGGGAAACACATCCTGTGTATGTAGAGAAAGTCTGTTTGTTATCAATCAGTCTTATGTGTGTATGATGTAGATTTATCTGCACTCAGCAGGAGATTAAATTTCACCTCAAACTTTTAGGAGGAGGAATATTTTGGCAGTGTATAAGGTGCCTCTGTCTTAAGTTTAATGACTTTTACATGTGCTAGGAGTTAATTAGACTTCACAACAATTTGTGTGTTTTAATTTAGGATTTCGTTGATTATTGTTTGTGATCTATATTCACCATCTGGATTGAGTATTGCTAGTGTGTTGAAGTAATTAATTTCCACTTTGATGAACTTCTGACAAACAACATGGCTGCCAGTACACCTATGACACAATCAGGCACAGGTAGAGGACCAGCTCCACCACTACCAGAGAAACCTCCTTCGGTGGCAGAGAGGACAAGACTTCTAAAATCAAGTTTTCGTAAGGATGATGTTGATAAACCAAAAGTTATAGCTTCAAGTCCAATAGTAGAAAGAGCAGCAACACTACCACATGGTCATGAGACAAATGGGGATAAATCGGAGACTCCTTCTCCTGCTAGTAGTGTGGGGTCCATGACTAGTGTAGGGGTTAAGGCCTCTACTCCAGACTCAGTTAAGGACTTGCCACCAAAGCCGGCAGTAAGTCCACCAGCTGTATGTATATTCGTTTGTCTTGTCCAAACTGTGCATGTCTTTCATATACATTTAGGGGGAGGGTGGGTACCAAAACTGTGCATGTCTTTCATATACATTTAGGGGGAGGGTGGGTACCAAAACTGTGCATGTCTTTCATATACATTTAGGGGGAGGGTGGGTACCAAAACTGTGCATGTCTTTCATATACATTTAGGGGAAGGGTGGGTACCAAGGTATGAATTATCTTCAGATTTATTTCAATTTTTGGTTTTCTCCCTTATATCAAATGAATAGTAGCAGTTTTACCTGTGCCGACTGTGGTTATTTTAATATACATTTAAATTTCATTGTAAATTGTATTTAATGTTATGTTATGTTATGTTCTTGTTTCGTTTTTTTGGCTGCAAAAGTTTACAAATACTATATTGTTAAAAGAAAACTGAGTATTTATAGATTTAATCCCATTTAAATGCATTCCATTGTTACTATCCCTAAACCACATGTTGTAGGGCAATTGAAAGGTGACTCATACCTTTTAAGTCATTTAAGAATGCAATTTTGTAAATATTTCAGTTTTTAGCTTGCTCAAAAAATGATGATACACACTTATGTGGTGTAAATCATTTGATCTTAGCTGTGTGTAAGATGTTTTCTAGATCTTTAGGAAAGATATACCTAACTTTGTTTACTTATCACAGTGGTATATTCTAACTTTGTTTACTTATCACAGTGGTCAGTATACAAAACCAATTATCAGCTAGCCTCAGTGTTTATAGACATCTGATAAATCTTTATTGGTTTAAGATTATTGTTAATGGCCAATTATAATGGCTACTGTTGTCCAAAGGTGTAACTGATATCAAAATCTTTGACCTTCTTCTCTAACCAATACAGCAACATGCAATGGTCTTTATTGAATTCCTCCTTTCTGTATTAGTCTTAAATCATGATTAATGAAGATTATCTTTTCTCCCTTTTGACAGTGACCACTTAACCTATCATGGACTTGACCACTGTGGATTCATCATTAATTGTGGAGTACAGATTGTCATGGATTTTGCATGTACACCATTAATTCAAGTGTCTAACAAAATGCAAATTTCCTATACATGCAGAACTCAAGTATCTCTGGAAATGCAAACTTTCTTTGATCCTCAAAAATTGGTACCCAAGAAAATAAATGAATCAACAGAAGTTCTTCCAGTCTTTGACATCATAACCTTCTTTCTACCATTCTCTCTCTCCATTCTTCTTCATTTCAGTGACCCCCTATCACCAATATATTTAAATGATTGTAGATGTTAAAATATTACTGGAATCTACTTCATTGTCAGGTTTTACCAAAATCATTTAGTTACATTCAAACAAATGATGCTTCACATCTACTGGAACTACAGATGACAAAAGAAAGACAACAGTATGAGCATACTATGGAGGTACGATGTGTGGTTGAAAACCAGCTTGGTATTGACAGTTTCCCATCATCATGTACATTATATAAATCCCTTCGTCCCAAGACTTACTCCAAAATTTCAGTTTGACTGACACTTTGATGTCCTTATGCACATGTTTGTTATGCACTTTCTCTATTTATGTTATTGTCCTTTTATGAGAGTCTATAGTATGACTATCATGCCTATATAAATACTGGCCTAAGTATTCAATATGTAATACTGTTGATTGAACCAAGGATAATAGAAATTGTGTAACAGATTAGGAATTTATTGAATGAAAACTTTTGATTTGTTTGCATGGGAATTGTGTTTTGCAGACAAGAAACAATGCCTTTAAGTCTAGCTCAATATTCACTGACCTATAACAATCTTTCAGTCTGGAGAATTAGTTTCCTTGTGCATATTACTGATAATCGCACTTCACCAGAGTTATCATATATTTTCTCTTTGTTTTTAATACTAGCTCAGGTAAATTCTTTCTGACATTTATTACAATGTACACATGTAAATTTCTTTATACTCATCAACATGATGCAGTTATACATATATCTTCTTCTTGCTGGACCCATCCAAGAAATCCCTTCCAATTGAATTCTCATGGCCTGAGGTCAATGGTTATAGAATAAGAATAAGAATAAGAATATTTATTATTCCAATCAAGGGCCCTTGATGGGCAGCATAACATGTACACATAAAACAATACGTCATGATTTGTAACAGAAAAACATTTTTATATATTAAAATGAAACATTAAAAAGTTCAGACAGATGTTATTATCTTCATTCTATAAAAAATCACATACATTTAATTCCAGGCAGGATCAGAACTGTAAAATCATTACAATTATCATTGTTATTACATACATTAATTAACATTTCGTCTAACATCTAGACATGTAATAATATAGCTCCCTAAATATTTAAGTATAGACAAATTTTCATTAGTAAATAACCAAACAAATTTTGCCTCATTTGAAAGATCTATAAAATTGGGACAGATACAGTTTATCTCCTTGAAAAATATCTCCCTATCATTATTGTATGCTGGACAACTAGTAATAAAATGTTGTTCATCTTCAACCAGATTAGTTATCTAGTTATACAAACTAAATCTTAAAATTAAGCTATTGTTGATTTGCATCCAATATGTTTAGAGTATCATCAAGTGGTGATGTAGAGTAAACATTAAGAAAATCCCAAACAAAAAATACAAAAAAACCAAGAAAGACATCTTGAGATGGTCTTCAATAATAGATAAAAGGTTTTGACCTAGAACTTGTGGTCACTTAGACAGAAATATGAAAGTCCAAGCAGATCATGAGGTATCCTATGGACACATTTTGTTATACCTGGTTTTCTGAAGCAGGTGATATATAGTGATGTGGGGATCTGCACGTTCATTGGTCATTGTGTCTCACTTTTTTGTTGAATTTATTGAAACTTTCTCACAATATTAACCATGTAATGCACCTAAATAATGTTTTTAGTGTTCTATTATCAGAATCATTTTTGGGCTTTCCCTCAACAAATAATGTACTTTGCGAGGGGAGGGGGGCATCAGTTTGTATTTAAAGCTTTGATTGCATTACTTCTAGGTTTTTATGCGGTCTTATATTGGTATCACGTCGTCGTCGTCAGCATCGTCTGAAGACATTTGGTTTCTGGACAATAACTTTAGTAAATGTAAATAGAAATCTATTAAATTTAAACACAAGGTTTATAACCACAAAAGGAAGGTTGGGATTGATTTTGGGGGTTATATTCCTAACAGTTTAGGAATAAGGGGCCAAAAAGGGGCCCAAATAAGCATTTTTCTAGTTTCCAGACAATAACTTGTGGAACGGTGTATGGATCTCTCTGAAATTATACCACAAGTTTCCATACCACAAAGGGATGGTTAGGGTTGGCTTTGGGGGGTTATGGCTCAAACCATTTAGGAATTAGGGGCAAAAAAAAAGGGGAATAACAAGGGTTTCCTGGTTAATGGACAATTAAAAAAAAGTACAAGGTTATGTTTGGATTACATCCCTTACACTGCTTTTAAATTATGTATACAGAAATGTTGTATTGTCTTGAGGTGATTAGCTGTCAATTTATTTTTGGAAGTTACTATTAAAAAATGCTGATTAAGGAATATTAATTATAGCCATTTTTTATTTTAAGACTTTAAGACTTTTATGATGTATTTAAATGAATAATTATGGTTGAGATTATAACCATACCTTGAGGGAAAAATTTTTTTTTTTGGAAAAGGGGGGGGAGGTGAAAAAAAAAGGGGGGGGGGGGAGGGACAATTTTTTCTCATTTGAGATTTCAGAAATTAAAAAGAAAATTTCTTCAAATATTTTTTTATTTTGGCCAATAAAAGGGGTGGGTGGGTAAACAAATTATTGGGGGGGGGGGGGGGGGGGGGTCAATTTGCAACAGCATAGTGTATTGCACAAAAGCAATAAAAAAAGGGGGTAATTTTTTTTTGGGGGGGGGGTCAATTCGCAACAGCATAGTGTATTTATTGCACAAAAGCAAAACATTGAATATAAATTCAAATCATATAACCAATTCTATGTTCTTTGACTACAGTTATTCTGTGTCAGAAACCTATTATGTGTCAAATATTTAATTACAATCCAAATTCAGACCTGTATCAAGCGCGAATATTGTGTCCATTTTTGCCCCAAATGTTCAGGGTTGGACCTCTGCGGTCGTATCCAGCTGCGCTTGGGGAAGCAATTTATTATTTTTTGTTTTTTTATTTTGGGTTTCCAATTGCATAACAAGGACTTATGAGAAAATGGGTTACAAACTTTGTGAGCAATGCTCACACTTGCTAGTAATATTGTAGACATTTTCTATTATCTTATTAACATTTCATGTCTTTTAGTGCAGTTATTTTGATAAAAGTATTTTAAGTGTTGCCTAGATATGTCAGATGAGTCACCTCACTCTTTAGATAAACAGTTGTCAATAAATTTCATAGCTTTATGGCAGAAGAGATATTTTTATGATATGAATGGTCCTTTGAGAGTTTTCAACGAAAGTTCATGTTAAAATTTCCTCCAGACCTTATTGAGAATGTATAAAGTAATCTTTATCAAAACATAGAGCCGGTATGGTGGATTCTTATGGTTTAAATCTGTTATCAAAGATTTAGTTCAGTGCAGTATATACACACTGACAATTTCATGTAAGAAAAGCTCCTATAAAACTTTCTTAGATTTATTCAAAAGATTATTGAAGTTTTCTAAATTCTTTTTTATTTGTATTCCAAAATAACATGACACGTAACATATTATTTGCTCACTTGTTCAAAAAGCAGCTATGGTGCTATATAGAAATGATATATATAGATCCTCTCACTGGATATTTTTTAATTAACAGAGTTACTGCCCTTTGACCTAAAAGAAAAAAAAGGTCAGTGTATCAATAAATAATTAATTAAAACTTAAGCAATGCCTTTTTGTTGATCATGTTGGACTAAGGTCAAAACAAGCTTATACTATGGTGATGTTGGGCAAATGGATGGGTGATTGAACAGGAAAAAGTGGATACCTAAATTGTGTAATCA